AATGATTATTTTTTTGAAAAACAAAAAATTTTTGTTAGGTATTGACAAAAATTAACCTGGGGTGACATGCAATGGAGAGAAATTTCAACATTGGATAGGTTGATTTCACTAAAAATGCATCATGAATGACCTTGTGGCTATGGCCAGCAAAGTTTGAATGATTGCGCTCAAAACCAGCAATACCAAAAAAGATTGGAGAATGAGAAGGAGACTCACTGTGAACATCAAAGTGATCCCGCTTAATAGTGAGTCTCAGAGACATAGTCTTTTCTCAGATACGGCCTTGCCATTTTACTTGTTTTAATTTTTAGTTGAATTTGGTATTGGATCAAACACATTTTTTTTATTTCATAATGAAAACAAACATCAGATTACTTTTAAAAAGTTGAGCAAATCCTCAATCAAAACTGTTTTATAGAGGTATGGTATACACAACACTAAATATTAGTGTTGCAATGAATAAATATATTCGGCCTGAGGCTGAATACCGAATATTTGGCAGGAGCATGGCCGAATAGCCGAATATTCGGCCAAACTATTCGACTTGATTAACGAAAATTGGCGCGCAAACAGTATTATAGCAAGGACCCTGCTCTCCATTGGCCCACTGCCACTACGCTTCGCCAATTGCGTTATTTCTTGACAGTTGTAGCAGACAGACAAGAGCGTCATTACAGTATGTGATAAATTATGATATCAAATATGAATAACAATGAAATGACCCACACGTGTAAATAACAGAAAAAGAACAGAGAAAGACCGCGAAGTGGAACTGTGAAAATAAATATGAAATTGAGTTGATAACATAATTGAACAAGTTGAAGCAGCTTATTGGCTTGAAATTTGCGGCCGTCAATGCCAAACAATTGTTGTCATAGACTTCGGAAAGCTAAATGCTTGTAATAAAAGTCACTTAGCGTGCACGGGCGAAATCCTGGGACCGTTTGGGCTACCAAGCTATCTCGAATCTGTGAAATCATAACTGTGACATATACCAACGTCCTATCTGTCTCTTTTTTCCGTTATCACCAGGCTATGAGTCACGTAATTATAAAATAAAAAAACTACGACGGAAAAGTGACGAATTGAAAGTATCGTGAGCGCGTATTATGATGTATGCATAGGCATACGTGGACTAGAGAGATAGAGGAAAGAGAAAGAAAAGAGCAAAGACGAGCACTTAAAAAGGATAGGCAGGGTCAGATCCTCAAATGTGTGCGACGATTCTCGAATGAATATGTGTACATGTGCTGATTTTTGTAATTATAAATTGTAAATACATGTGATTAATATTATTTTTTTTTATTTTGTGCATGTTATAAGTTATAAATAAATATAAACAAACAGTACTAACCCGACAACATTAAATCTAAATACAGTACCAAAATGATTAAATAATTTACTGTGTTTTTGTTATTTCTTACTCCTGTTTTTAGGTATTCGGTATTCGGCCGAATAGTGATTAAATATTTGGTATTCAGCCGAATAGCGAAAAATAGGCCGAATACCGAATAGTAACCAAATATTCGTTGCATCACTACTAAATATTTAAACATCTTATTTGAACATCAATAAAAAAATACACATGGGTGTTACCTTCAAAAGCATTTCACTTTGGCAACTTTGCCAAAGCCTCTTTAGTAGAGTTACACCACAGAAAGTTGTCGAATACCATTAAACTTCAACAAAATATTATTTGATAATTCAATATTTTAAATGCTTTAATGTAGTCCATCTACATGTTGATAATGATAAGAAAATAAGCAATGTATGTTATTAAAGATTTTATAACTGATCATCATGTTTATTTTAGGTAATTTGCAATAGTAATAATAATTATGCATACAGATGATTTATATTATATGAAAATCTAAAACTGAAATGTTACCTCATAAACAAAATATTTGTGTATTTTTATTTAGATTTAAATGAAATTTAAATGAACTAAGTCAATACAGAAGTCAGTACAATATTTTAAGTGATAATCTAGATTCAGTATTTACTGCATCTAGATGATCACTTAGTAAAATTTATATTAGTATTTAAAAATTCATGAAATCATGATCAGTTGCTTTTTTACTGACATTTCAAAATATAATTTCTTGTGCTCAAGTTTTTATTATTTAGTATAATAACTGAGTATTTGTAATTCTTATCAAAAGAAGAATTTTAATATAAATGCTTAATTTATTTATACATTATTAACATTACTGAATAATTATACTTCATAGCTCATTCATAATGGATATTACATTATATTTAATACATTATTTTAAATTTTTTTGTAGTGATGACAGTCTGGGTTATGAATATCCTTTCACTTTGAAAGCAGTTCAAAAAGATGGTCTACTTTGTGCCTTGTGTCCTTGGTATAGGTTAGTATTTTATTACAATGCAAACTTGTTGCAATAATTTATAAAAAGTCATTAATATATATAAAGAAACTTTATAAATTATATATATTAATATTTAGTAAAAATATATTAATACAGGTAACCCTTGTATAACACAGCACTTCTATAGTACGGATTCACTCTATCACGGTTTGAGAATTGGGAACATCCCCCTTATAAGACGGTGCTTTTATAGCACAGGTTCACTCTAACACAGTTCGGGAATTGGGTAAAACCCTTGTACAACATAAAATTTAATAAAGGGTGCGTTTCTCTTATACCTCCGCGTAACTCTGCACGAGCATTCTTATTGTTTTCGTGGCTACTTTGAATCCTCTTTCAACAAATAATCCATTTAATGGTTAAATTATACAGTTGGGACCCTTCTTTTGCCTCTAAAAGCTCATTTTAGAATTATAGATTCCTCCACATGATACTATCGATAGTGCAGGCACCACCATCTTTCACCGTCGTTCCTAAATGCCTACAAACAGCAGCTCACTCCCATTGCAGAGTAACTGTTATTAACGAACGCACCCACAAACTGTTACCAGTTGATGATGCTCATGCTGAGATCATCATATAAAATGAATAATCCTCTGGTAAAATGTTTACTTAAATAATAAATAAGTATTTTACCTATGAAAAAAATGAATAATAAATCCGATTTAAATAAAGATTTAACAACATGTTTTTGCATTTTTGGAACCTAACCCCCCTTTTCGCACTAATTCTCTGTTTTGTATAACACGGCAATATTTTGGAACGTAACTCCTGTGTTATATGGGGTTACCTGTATATAAATAATTTATTTATTATATATCAATATTGTAAACCTACATCTTATTGAATGTGTTGTGTATTTTCTAAAGTAGAAAGATTTGTAAAAATGAATTACCTCTCTCTACTATAAATCAGAACAGATAATCATTGACTATGGGATATTTTATACTTCAATTTTTTAACAAATTTTATTGAGTAAAATGCAAGTGATATGTTCTTTAAGGAAATATTTATGTTTGAATCAATAAAATATAAAGTCTGGTGTATTTAGTTCTCAACATAATTTTTTTAATGAAACTTTAATCATTTTACTTTATAAACTTTAGCTTGATTTATCATGTCACTTACATGTTTTTAATATTTAAGTATTTTAAGAAAGAACTGAGAAAGTATAGTTATTGGTACAGTTGACATAGTGATTGTAACTTGTTAAGACTGATTGTCACCTTCTTTTTGCTCTTGATGGCCATCTAGTCAACATTTCTCAATAAGTCTATATTAATTTATGTTTTGTATTTTATCAGAATCAGGATAGGATTCTGATCCTAATTTGAATGAAGAATATTGTTGTTTTCTACAACAGTGACATAAATACTGATTCTTCTGTATATTGTGTAGGATAAAAATAGTATGAACTTTAGGAATGCACCACAAATGAAATTTTGTTGCACAGAGCAGGTAAATAAATTGGAATTTAACATCACGGTGTCTTTTAGTATTGTTTGATGTTTCTTAACCACAGTTCTGTGATCATTGTTCAGAAACATTACTAATACAAGTGCAAATGTTAGTAATTCTGATTCGAGCATAATTGGGCAAACTTACAAAGCTGTCACTACTTGCATTTACATTAATAAATATCTCATGTTTGCTTAGTCACATTTCTGTTTCTTTTGAGGCCATCCATCTGAAAGATCATCCTTAAAATAACTGGGCAGGACATAGAAATTCTTACACTTTGGAGAAATATACTTTCTCTGCATTTGAAATGGTACACATTTATTAATTATGATTCATTTTCTAAACCAATGGTTCCCAATTAGTGGTACGCATACCCCCAGGGGTACGCGAAATTGCGTGAAGGGTGTGCGCGACAATCTAAAATTGGTCAATTTAAAATTTAAATGCATGAGATGAAGCAATCAAAAGAATAATGGGTGGACAATCAAAAATTTGGCAATTTACAACATGATGTCGAATGCACAAATTCGTTTATTTATAACAAAAAGTATTATCGAAATTTTATCAAAAAAATGCATTTGTGACAATACCTAAATGAAATTCTTATGCAAGAAACAAAATTGTACAATTAACACAAATTGTATTAATTGTACAAATTTTGTTTATTGCGTTTTGTTTCTTACAATTATTATCATCATCATGTCAGCGAAGCGGCAATAAAATATTTACTACCATTTTGCACAACATACCTCTGCGAGAGCGTATTTTCGGCCATGACAAACATGAAAACTAAACATCTCTGACTTCAACTCGAAGATGACTTGAGACTGAAGCTGACCAAAAAGCAACCAGATTTTACAAAGTTGTGCAAAGAAAATCATGCACATTTGTCACATTAAAATTAAATAACCTTATGCTATTTTCATTATTATTAGAATTGTATTTTAAAGGTAATAAATGTAAAAAAAACTTATTCTATTTATCACTAGTTGTCTACCCACAGCTTCACCCACATTATATTGAATTTTCTTGTGGGAGTAAGATATTTTCTCGCAGTAAAATGTAGTCCATGTCCATCTCCAACATGTAAGCTATCTCTGTGCCAAATTTTATTAAAACCTGCTCATTGGTTTAGACATGAAAAGGTAACAGACAGGCAGAATTACCTTCAAATTTATAATATTAGTATGGATTAATATGAATTTCTGCTATAAGGGGTATGCAAATTTGAGCTCTTTCTTGAAGTGGTACGCAGGAAAAACTAATTGGGAACCACTGTTCTAAACAAATCCCAAATGGCTTACATTTGCACTTTTCTCTTTGACAATCCAATTTTAGTTAAAGAATTTAGGTTAGGAAAACTGGTTTTGAACCCTTTCTGATTATTGAAGAGGAACTCTAAAGCAGATCATTGCATATGTTTTTATAGGCAGGCCATTTGAAACTATATTTAGAGCATATTCTAGATGTTCTGCTTTATACAGCACTGTCTGTCTTTGTCATTTTTGTTTTTGGTTTCAAGAGAAGGAATATAGCAACTTCTGAAACAGATAAATAGATGAAGGTAAATATCATATTTAGCCTAATTACAATAGAGGCTAGTTAGACAGAAAATAGGCTAGCCTAAATGGACTTAAACCATACCTATATGTCCATAGATTTTTTCAAAAAAAAAATTAAAAAGGTAGGATATAATAATGTTATAATCAAAAACAATATGGTATTACTGCTTTTTCCTGTCTTCAAAGTCCTTCCTAGATTGATTTCTCTAATAGCCTTGGCCTTTAGGGAGCTACCTTGTGTAAATTTGTTTCCTCTTCCTATAAATGAATTAATGTATTACTTTATGATGCATTTATTGGCATCATAAAGTAACCAATAACTGCATCATAAAGTAATACAAGTGTTATTTTTTAATATGCAGTAATCCCTTCATTTACACAAGACTTTGGTTTCACAAAAACAGCACATAAATAAAAATCATATAAATGGAGCCATGGAAAGTTGTTTAAAATAGGGATCTGTTCCATATTCTCAAATATAGTATTTTACTTTTACTGGGGTAGAAAAGGGGAGTACTTTAGTTGTTTTTTTAAATATACATCTATATAAGAGGTTACCGATAACACAAAAAGATACTTTTTGATGTAACTATCACTTATTTCCATAAAGTTTATTATTTAAAATTTAAAAAATTTTCAACCATGAATTTTGCATAAATTCAGGATTACTGCATAACAAAACTATTTTTACCATAGGCCAAATGATATAAGAGTTAAGTTCCTATAGTATATTTCCAGTCATCAAAACATAACTAAACTTTTAAATAAAAACACAAAACTCTATGTGAAAGATTGAAATAAATTGTGAGCTATGCATATCATATTTAAGAAAGATTAATGAAAACAAATAAGATAATTATTTATCCAGTTTTGGGAATCAGTGAGTGACAAGCAGTCATGATGGTGTGTAGGTGAAATAGAAGGACACTAAATTCTCATTTTTGGAAATGGCTAAGGATGAATAATAAAGAATAAATGTTTGCAAAGAGAAAATTGTAAGGAGCACTTCCTACCATACTATGCAGTTCAAAAACAAGGAATTGGCTATTCCATCAAACATATAGAGGACACTGTATAAATTAAAAATAGTGAATGCCAAAATGGCACAATATTAATTCAGCATTAAATGATGCCATATGTGTTGTTCATGTTGTTTGAAAAAAAGGTGAAAGTAGAGTAAATGCAAATTATGTTAATCAGATTTCAAGAAGATAATTCAGTTATTATTATTAAATGGGTTGCTTGTAACCTCTAACATTTATAGTTGATGTAAGACTCATATTAATCAAAAAATCAAAAAATTAATCTCAAATATGTATATTAAATCTTATATCGGTTTTAGATTTAAACATCTTTCTGGTTCTTTCATGTATCAGCAAAGAATAGCTTCTGTTTTTAAATGCTTTTATTTAATTTGCTTTCTAGCATATCCTCAAATTTCATCTGCTTCTAATTAAGATAGGTTGTCCTCAAAGCTTCAGCCTTCTAAGTCCAATGATAATGCATTTTAATTAATGATGTTTAAGGGAGATGATCCCACTACTATCCTCCCATTCCAAAACCTGATAAACATAACCTTTTTTAATTTTTAAAAATATATTAAAATTATTTGAATCAAAATAGGAGAAAATAGAGTGAACATTGTAAAAGACTTCTATTGGTTTCAGTGCATAAAAAGTAGAAATTTGCTTTGTTCAATTTTCCATTTGATTTTACTAGAAATTTCAGAAAATATGTTTGTTTTTTTTATTTCCACTTGTTTACACTGTTTTTCACACATTCCTTACCTGAGTCTGGTGTAGTGAAAGATTGCTCTGCTTTCTCAATGCATCATTACATTTTATAAAGAACCTTACTGAAAATATTGGTTAACACAAAGAATACAGAACAAATATGAATAACAATTCTAACAATGTGCCAACAGTAGTGAGAATTCGACAAATGTTTATTAAAACAAATGCTGAGAGAATGAGAGTATCAGTTCAAATTTGAGCAAGCAAGTCACTTGGGGAGGCATCTAAAAGTCTAAATGCAAAGAAGTATCACTAACTGGCTTGGTGCACAAACTAATCCATGGGAGGCAAACAGTATGAGATAATGAACCACATTTTGCAAAATGCTGTTTCATAGTATTATTACTAGAATACTTTTTAAATCAATATAATTAACATGTAAATTAGTGGATATATAGATTAATTTATAATCCCTTGACATACTATATGACTATTCAAAGTAGCAAGAGTCATCTCATAAAGCATTCATAATAGCTGTATCAGCAAACACGATGTACAGTACAGTACAGTACATACAGTTGAAACTGAATAAAGCAAGTATGTTAGTAGCCATATAATAGTACTGTATATATAATTTTATATTTTCTATAAAACATTTTGTGATATGTTGAATGGTTTTATTAAACTTGTGCATTATGTTTTTGTCAGTGACTGAAGGGTTGGCACCTGATCAGTGATGCCTATGTCAGGACTGACACCACTGTGTCTTTTAGGGTAGACACAGAAACCTCGATGGCCTTTCTTTCTTTTTGTGAGCAGTCAGGTTCAGAAGATTGGATGGATGTCCAACCTTCCAAGACAATGCTTCCGAAGAAATGCACACTATAACTTAATTATAAAGGAATAATACTCATTTATTTATGTAAACTATTTACCCAGATACATAGGATAACAGAGTTCCGTTATAGCTTTTATCATATATAGCATCTTATACTGGATAAGGCTTATATAGTGTAACATAATTGATTAGGCTTTATACTATTAAGTACTATTTTAACGGGTCCCTAGCTGAGAGAGAGAGCTTATTTTTATGCATGATGCTAAATACCTTAATCAAAGTCTTGAGATCGCAAAACGTCTGATGACAGGATGGAGAATTAGGTTCCTTGATGAGCACAGTTCGCTATCAAATGTTCATTGCTAAGGATGCCTACAGTGAACAGATTGGTGAAAGGGCAGTCGAAGGGATCAGTGATGGAGCATGGTTAAACTAAACTCACCTGAAAAGGAGGTGGATTAGCGCACTCTCTTGTCATCGATTCTACCATTTTATTTCAGGTCCTCCCCTTGATTTCAACACCCTCTAAGCCATGTTACTATTTTTGACCAATGGTGAATATTTGTTAGTTAGTGAGAAAGGAAGTGGCTTTGGGGTGAAAGATGCAAGCATCCTCCAGTAATTAAATTGAAAATTTTTTCACTGGGATTTAAACTAATTTAACTTTCAAAAGACAAAAATTTTTTCCCTCAACGTTTTTGTCAAGTCCAGGCTCTCACAGTCATTATTGATATTGATTACTATCAATATATAGTCACCTTAGTATAAAATATCTCTTGATCCAGTAACCTGTCTTTCTACCATTTTGCATTGTGTTTTCATTTGCATATACTACATTGGAATAGAATCCTGTTATAAGTTGAAATAGATGTGTGTATATATATATATATACACAGTAGAGCGTCGTTTATCCGAATCAATTGGGGACTGAGGTTGTTCGGATAACCGATTATGTATGAAAAAATATATTAACCTATCCCATGTTGAAATTTTTCTCTGTTGCATGTCTCTTCGCGTTGAATTTTCGTCGATGTTAAGCCTAACATAAACTTTTTAAAATAATAATCATGGCTATTGTATTGTTAAAAATTATTTCTTTATTTTTTACAAACAAAATAAATATATTGAAAAATATAAAAACAAAAAAAAAATTATACTTCAGAAGTTAATCTAGTATCAAAAACATTCGATTCAGCACGACACACAGTCCCCAGAAAAACACTACACAAAAGTGCCAGTGCTGCCAACTAAAACACACACATCAACAAAAAAAATATTGGAGTAGCCCAAGATATAGCCAAAGATTGCAGTGCCACAACACTAGCAAAAATTTAAATTTGCTGACTGGAATGTTTTCGGATAACTGGCTTTCGGATAAACGATGCTCTACTGTAGTATCATTTTCAGCTTTATTTAATATAAAAAATATTTGATAAAATATGAATGTAAATGTAAAAAAATTTATAATATTCTTTATGTACATTATTAGAATGTATAAATTATTGTTTACAATTGTCTTGAATAAATATGTTGATTAAAGAACTTTAAATTAATTCCTAAATTAATTTCTATTTTAACTTTAACATAATGAATTTAACATTTTCTTTCTCTTTATTAACAGTTTTTGTCGGGGATGTCGTATAGAATGCTGTGATGCAGATTTCAATTTTTCAGCAGCATATATTGCAATTGATTGGGATCCAACAGCATTACATCTTAGATATCAAGCTTCACAAGAATTGGTAAGCAATAAATTAAAAGTAGTCAAATATTCAACAGAAAATATGTGGTGATTTGTATTTGTATTCAGGGAGTTAAATCTTATCAATTTATCAAATTGATTTAATTACTATTACTGAAAATTCTAACATCATTAAAAGGATTAATATTAAAAACCAATATATAAAATTTCAGATATTGTAAGAGTTAGAGTAAGTTTTTATTAATTAAATAAAGAAATATTTTAAAACTTTTTGCCTCACATTCATCTGTAAGAAACTAGGATCAATTTAATTATATTTAAACAGTTAGATCAATCCAGTTTGTATTTAATAATTTAGGTCCAAGTAACTTTAGCTAGAAAGTTAGAAGTTCTCATTCTATACCTGATAATGTACAAAAGGAGATATTAAGTATAAATGTCGTAACTCATTGCAATATTATGTTGTCTTACCATAGAAAATAGAACTTAAGAATAAAAGTGTTTGGGAAGTATTATAAGTTAGACACAAAACTTGTTTTAGTTTTATTTCTTCTCTAGTTATAAAATGAAGCAGTTAAATTCACAGTATAATCTTCAATAATTGAAACTTGTTGGAAGAAATTTATTGCTTGCTGCTAATTGACATCATCTTTGTAATACTGTATTTGATTCTATGATACACTGTATGTTTGAATAATTTAATTTTAAGAATTTTTTTCCTTCAGTAACTATTTTTTTAAGTTTTGTTAAGTAAACAATGTATATTTTATTACCAAAACTATAATATTTGGCAGTTCTGTATATACAGTAACTGCCATTTTAATACTGCATGTTGCCTAAAGGCATTTTGAATTTTAAAAAGAATTTCAGATTAAATGAGCTTTGTCAGTAACAAGTGCTAAAACTGATATAACCAAAATGTATATTAATGGTAATGTACTGATTCCTTAATCTACAAATTACTGTTGTTTTGGACTGTGAATGTATTGAGACACATCTGTATTTAGGCAATTAGTATTGGATTAAAAATATGCTTTAGGATTGAGGAAAATATGATATATAGATTCTGCTTATTTGTAGCCATTTGTTTACATTTCTTTAGAAGTTACTGGATCTTAAAAATATCCAGTAATTTCTAAATATGAAATTTGAAATATCCAATATAATTATTCAAGAGATAACATTTATTATCTCTTGAAAGTACTAATGAAAATAATTATTAAGAAAATATTTTATTATTAAATTTGGCAATAGGTATTTATGGATCATAGGAGTGTAGAACAAACCAGAAGACAGCAGACAGAACCTATTAATTTACATGATTGTCTTGAAGCTTTTACTAAAGAAGAAGAACTTGGAGAAGAAGAAAAATATTACTGTTCAAAATGCAAACTGCATCAGTTAGCTTCAAAAAAATTACAAATTTGGAGATTGCCACCCATTTTGGTAAATTTTATTCAGAAATTTGAAAATTATGTTACAATAGAAATGATTACATAAAATCTTTTTCAGATTGTTCATCTAAAACGTTTTCAGTTGCTAAATGGTCGATGGGTAAAGTCACACAAAATAGTTCACTTTCCATTCCATCAGTTTGATCCCACCGATTATCTGGGATCCGAACCAAAGAGTGCAGTAATGAACTGGAGGAAGCAGAGGCATAACAAAACACTTTCTCACAGTAACAGAGATATAACTCTTATTACAAACTGTAATGATGATATAGCTTTAATGCAAAATAAAGACAGTGACAATATATTTCAAGTTCCACTGAATCAAAATTGCAATCAACATTCAATTAATGTTCCTAGTCAAGATAAGCTCATAACTTCATCATTAAATTCTAAGAAAGATACAAATAAATTATTGAACGGTAGTGTGGTTTTTGAACATCCCTTAAGTGAAAAATTTGAGAACAATAATTTGGATCTGGGTGAGAAATGCAAAGATCAAATGAATATCCATAACATAAAAAAACAGGAAGAAAACTTTCAGGATTATCATCAACATCAACTTCAAAGTGGATATGATCCATTAAGTTTAAAATATAAATTATATGCACTTGCAGTAAGTAATTAAAATGAAAACTTCTGTGTTTTTAAGCAAACAATATCTAATTTTTCTGTTATATTCCAGTGTCATTCTGGCATTCTCGGAGGGGGACATTATATATGTTATGCCTGCAATCCTAACAATCGATGGTATTGCTATAATGACAGCAGTTGTAAGGTAAGAATTTTACCGTTAAACCAAATCATATTTTCAACATGCATTTATTTTTATTTTAAGACATAAATGTCGTTTCCAGGAATTAGAACTTGATCAGATAGATGCCAATTCAGCCTATATGCTGTTTTACGAACGAGAAGGCCTGGACTACGAATCGTACATGCCTGACGTGAGCGGACGACTTCCAGACATGAAAGAAATAGAAGATGAATTTGAAAACGATTTCAGGAAGATGTGTTCTATACAATAAAAACAGTAACTGTTATTTTGGTGAATACAGGATGAAAGCCAAAAAATTATAAATAAGAAAAATTTTTATAGTTGTGTGAAAATATTTGTGTATATAATTGCCAAAAATATGTCATTCCTAAATTGATTTTCTATTCATATTAATATTACTGCTTTAGAATCAATTTAGTAAAATAATCTTTTTGTTAGGATTTGACATATCAGGGTCTGAGAAGCCATCACTGTGATTAGACAATATCTCACAGAAGAGAATTGTCTTGAATTATATACTGGTCATTGTTTTATCTTTATGTACAGAATTCATTATTGCCACAAAGTTGTATCCTCAATTAATTGATAACATGCTGATTATACAAGAGAAGTGGCAAGAAAAATATTCTAATTTACCCCATTATTTGTAAATTGAACATAAAAGTATTTATCATGATAAACATATTATTATTCACATTATGTAAAATTGCTTTAACATGTTTGCAAGACAATTTAGTTTGCTCATTAATATTGAAAAATATTTGGATAATCTTATAGTGCCATTCACTTGTATATTATTTTCTTTAAACACAAAACATTAGATTAAATCACTTTTTATCTTGTATAGTTTCTGTATATTATATACTGGATGAATCAGATAATTGTTTTGTACTGTATCAAGAATTAGAAAAAAAAAATTAGACTTTTTCAACTATTGTAACTTGAACTGGATACCAACAAAAAAATTATTACTTTTTTGTTATAATGTGTACAGTTTTTGTATTTAAAACTTTTATCATTTCTTTAAAATATCTGTTATCAAAAAAATTCAATTTTTGTGCAATGGTAAATGTTGAAAATTAGTCACTGCCTTCTTCTATATAGTACTAACTAAATTTACAATCACAAACTTTTGAAGATCCGTAGAGTAGAATTAGACGATCGAAGATGTTACCTTTTAAACATCTCGACTCTACATCTTCCTATGTACATTAATACTGAGAGTGCATTTGTATAGTCGAACGTACGGCAGCAAGCGTCACGTAACTCCAAGTAAATCATTGCAATATATAAAGAGACCAAAGCTTTGTATTTCGTCCATTTATTTGTTCTCTAGATTTGTTTTATAAAGTTGTGCCCAAGTTTAATTTGCCATAGCAATGGAAAACAGAATGTGAATATGTTGATTTTTAAAGAAATTTGAATAAATGTTACTGGTTTTCCAAGAATCATCATCTCGTTATTTCAATTACAAAGACACTTTTGTAATATATTCAACTATTTATTTGAACTTAATTTTTCTATCAGAAAGCATTTATATTATGATGGATATCTTTTAATTGGTACAAAAATATTCTTGTTTTCTATTATTGCAAATTTGATCCTGTTTGTGAAAATGTTGTAAAAGGACAACTTTTGATACATCGTCCTTGAAATGAAAAATATTAAAAAAATTGAATTGAGTTTTTTTATTTCAGTATTAACACTTTATATGCAGAACTTTTAAAACAATAATTTGGAAATAAATTACTTTAATATCCCATAATTTATTAAGTTCAATTAGATTGCTTGTATTACAGCCATCTTATTTCTTACAATATAAATTTTCATTAAGAATAAAAAATTAATATACCAAGTCAGTAAAGATAGTGACTGTACTTACAAAATGATAGTATAATTTGATTTTATATAACTCTTTCTTAAATTATAACTCACTCATGTCTTTTTGTAATTTATTAAATAATCAATTATATTATAATAAAATATGTTCATCTGAGGTACAGATTTTTAATACTTGGATCACTTAAAATTTAGTACTAAGTTGAAAATGCTCAAAATGGCTTTAAATATTCAGATGGCTTTTACTTTCAAACAATACTGACACACTTATTCACAATTATTTTTATTTGAAAGTGCATCTTAAATACAGGGTGTACCTAAATGAAAACCCTGATTAGAAGTTTTTGTTGCATCTTTCATGGTTTGTCTACAGTGACATGGGATCATATAAGCTAAGCAATGCTCAAAGTTCGTTTTGGTCACACAGCATGGTGTTTGTTCCACCATTCACTGCTAGAAGATGCCAATTACATATATGACAACAGGTGAAGAGAAAGCATGCTGTGCTGAAATTTGTGCATTCATATGAAGTTCAATAAAAACCCAACAGCCGTGAAGACTTTGGCAATGGTACAAACAATTTGTGTGTACTGGATGTTTGTACAAAGGCAAATCTGGTTGACCATCAGTGTCACAAGTGATGGTCGATCACGTGTGGGCATTCTACCCATAGAAATCCATCTTCAGTGGCAGCAGGGAGATGGGTATCGAAAGCATCACTGTCACTGAGTGACGTAAATGACTAACAGAAGTTGTACCATCTATAGTTGCTGCAAGCATTACAGGCCTAAGACTGGACTACTGGGTATTGAGAGGGTTGGCATTTATCAAGCATTTATTGGATATGCAAGAAACTTTGAGAGTTTGCCTCCATCTGTGTGTATGTATCACTGTCCTATATTTAGCACATTGTAGGTTAACACTTTTTGGAATTGGGGACATCATTTAAGTATATCCTGTATAATTAAAAATTATTCCTGATTAAGCTGCAATTTTAAAAAACTAGGCCTAAAAATTTCCACTGTCATCTGTTTGTCTTTCCTTAATCTCGATAACAGAATTAGATAGATGAAAGACAAGACCAGATATGGAAACCTTAGGGGCAGGATGCCCTGATTAACTTTATATGAATTTCTGATGCAAACTGGAGTCACATTATTTAAATTTAAAACTTTTTCATGAAAACAGTTAATAGATGACTGGCACAACTCTATTGTTAAAGGAAAAATATGATGTACAGGGGCAAGACTACAGTACTAATTTGAGGTGGAGAATACATACAAATACATGTGTACATGTATACATGTACATGTATACATATACTCTGTGTACATGTGTACATACACAGATTATGTATATGTATGTGTATACAGTACCAACATATTGAAAAAGATGGAAAGGAATAAAAGGATATTACATATGGAGACTAAGTTATATTTAATTCTTGTATAAAGCATTTTGTTGAATTCCTAAGCATAACATGACATCTTGTCATCCTTCCTTTCATAAAAAGAACATCATTAAAAAATTGTTTGTAGGCTGTTTAATATACACTTTTTCTTATGATTGGTCAAGTCCTAAACTGTTTGCACCTGAAAACTCAGTCAATTGGTAAGAGATCCTGGGGCCGTATTCTGGTCTCTTGTCTCTCACAAGCCGGTCGCTGATTGGCTAATCATTTGGATTAGCCAATCAGCGACCGGCTTGTGAGAGACAAGAGACCAGAGACAGTGACCAGAATACGGCCCCTGGTCAACAAAATCATCTAAATTAATTAATTTTGCATTTTCTAACCAGATTTTAAATTTAGTCAGTTTTCTCTTTTGCTTGTCTCCTCCAATTTCATTAATTTTGATTTTAATTGTTTCAACTTTGATCAGAAAAATATCTAAGAAAGGAATCCAAATAAAAAGTGTTAATATATTAGACCATGTGTAAATAATTTATAAAACTAGCAGATGATCTGGTATTGCCCAGGCAAAAAAATAACAACAAAGATTAAGATTATTTCACACTTCTAACCCATATATTATATTATAGTATTTGATTTATATAACTATAAAAATTATTATGTGATAAGTAAGAGTTTATGACACCACGTCACCAATCTAACACATTTTAAAAATTCTTGAAATTGTGAGTATAAAGGAAGTAGAGGAATAAAGAATTTTTAAAATGTGTTCTTACATAAAGGTTTATCATACTCAGTGTGATAGACCTTTATGTAAGATAACTTTTGTAGTTACATAAATCAAACACTATGATATAACAAACATTAAAATGAAAACCATATAAAGAGTGGTTATTTAAGCTTACCCAATTTATTGTGATACCCAAATGGTTTGAAATGGTAGAATTTCATTGTTCAATTAGACACCAACTGAAAATATATCTTAAATTTTTCCAGATAACATATTTTTTCCTAATGTTAACTCTAAAAAGCTGTACCATTCACAGCCAAGTATCAAATGGTAATCTGCCAACCAATCAAATTTCTCGAAAAATGGACCAAATGTTTAAACTCTGCACCCTCGAAGACCACTTAAAACATATTTTCTGCTTGCAGGTAACCTCACAGTATGTAATTTTCCTATTTGAATGCCACCATACTGCTGGTCTGATAGAAAGAAGAGATTGTTGTGCAAGAGCTTGAAGTAATTTGACCAAAAGTATTCGTTCACCTACTCCTTGAAGAGAGGACAGTCAAGGACTTCAAATATTAATGACTGGTATTAATTAGTAAATTAATCTGTGTTATAGATTATAACTTGTGATCAAAGTTGCTAACTTTAACATCCAAAAGACTTTGCATGACTTTTTTAAATAAAAAAAATCTTGTAAATGTGAAATTAATTGCTTTTATGTAATAATAAAGTATTTATATTTTGGCAACAGATTGTATAAACTAATGGGAAGCATGTTCTTGAAAGTATTATGATTACAGGAAAATTATTGGGCTGTAATTTGAAAAAATTGTAGTCTGTAAATTCAGACTGTGGTCTCATTACCTGTCTGTTCTTCCTCAATCTTGAGAAAACAGTTAGATAGATGAAAGTTGAGACCAGATATGGAAAGCTAGGGGCAGATTAACTATATACAAACTTCTGATGCAAACTGGAAGTCACATTACTTCAATTCAAATTTTTTCCTGAAAGGAGTTAGCTAAACTCTATTGCTAACAGGAAAAGTATGATGTACACAGGCAAGACCACTACTAAAAGAATTGAAAACATTATCATGATGTCACAATAAATAATTGCTCGTTAGAATTAGTTTGGTTTATTTGGTTACGGCAATGCAATGTGAGCAGTAAGCAATCTGCCAAGATACAGTGTAGTACATAACCCTATTTTTGTAAAACAGTGTTAGTACCTTTTTTATGTCATCTTAGGTTGTGGGTTCTCCATTTCTTGGGCTCTATGCATGTGCCTAATGTGACTATTGGTTAAAATAGTCCTGGTCTTTTGCCAGCAGTGATAATTAAAACATTTCAACACCAAGGACTATAATAATAAACAATGCTTTTTGTCCATGACTATAAATTAGACAGAGTTAGACAGCGTAATAAATAGGGTATAACAATTTGCTGGGCTTATCACACCAAGGCCGACTGAAAGAAGGACCAGAACTTGCGAAATGCATTGCATGATAAATTTGAAATGTGATTATTAAAGACCAACCCCCCTTTTTTTTTATAAAAGTTCTGGTCCTTCTTTCAGTCGGCCTTGGTGTGATAAGCCCTGCAAATTGTTATACCGTATTTATTAGGTTGTCTAACTCTGTCTAACCAAGGACTATGTTTTAAGTGCTTTTTAAGAAGTTTAAAAAAATTTTTTGCACATTACTGCCAGCAGAGAACAATGCTCCTTTTTTATGTTGGTTTTAGCCTACAATAAAAGTTTTACCTGTGCTTTATTAGTTCCCTGTACATTAGATAACCCATTTGTATAATCTGTGCAATTTTCAGCTTACTTTCCAACTACAGACATTTTTTGTTTCAAACAGTGGCCATTATTCAAACACTTGACTGTATTATACATATTGAATATAAGAAATTAATTGTTTTATTTTAAAATAT